AATTAACAAAACCGATATGACGGAACATTTTTCTTATGGTTGACAACTTGTTATATGATTTGTTAAGGTTTGAGGCTTCAAGGTGCCCGTTGCCAAGACAACAAGCTGGAGTTGACTGCGACAATTTCAACAGACCTTGCATTAACAAGCCTTAAGTGGATCAGGTATCGTATTTTAGATTAAACTTTCTGGATTAGAACATCATTTACCCTTGGTTTACACTGATTTTCATTGCTTGGTTTCAAAGAGAAGTTTGACTCTTGTTTTCCTTTTCGAATTTTTAGAGTTGAACCAGGATCTGCTAACCTTGAAGAAGGAAAGGTAAGTATCACGTTTCTATTTTGTTTACTTTCGGTTTCTTTGTTTGTTCGACACAAAACAGCTTTTTCCTGTTACTTTTATAGGACCTAGAGTTGTCCCTCTCATTCCTTCCCTCATCTTTCATCATTCATCTTTCGTTCCCCATCCTCCATCTTTCCATCCCCCATCTCCCATCCTTCATTCCCCATCTTTCATCCCCTATCGTGCATTCCTCATCCCCCACCCCTGTCCCCTTTCCCTTCCCCTATTTCCCATCCCTCATCCCCATCCCCCATCCTCCATCTCCCATCCCCCGGCTATCCTCCACATTCCCCACTCCCATCCCCTCTCCCTTACCCATTTCCCATCCCTCGTCCCTCTTCTCTCATTTGCTATTCTCCATTCCCTCCCCATCCCCTTATCCTCTGGGTTTCCATAGCTTTAATAGTTGGTTATTTATCGTTTGTTTCCCTGTATAGTGAAAGTACTGAAAGATTTAAGTGTGATCAACGAGCACATCTTGCTAACATTTATCCCCCACTCTCCAGGTCACCCTCCCTGTTTACCTCAACCACACACGTACTGAGCTTCTATTCACTGTTGACATGACAACCAGAGGGGAAGCTGCTGGCCGAGAACACCGCTTTTATGAGCGAGGTGTGGCTTTCCTGGCGTCGTCCTTGAGTGGGTGAAATCACATGATTTGGCACGCGATAAAGAACTTCTTGACTGGCATTTACGACTTTAATAAAAGCACATTAGATTACCTAAGAATTGTTTGAGTGTATCAGCCTAGCTTATACTTAGAAGTGAACTTTTATCGAGTTCATTCGAACAGGCAGTGAATGTTATTCTTTCCTTCTAGATGTTTCTCAATATATAGTTGAATTCAAACCGTGATCTTAACAAGTTGTCATTTTAGGATGGATATGGCTTCAACAAGGGCAGATTTGTCAACATAAAGTAGTTGATACGAATATCTGTAGAACTAAAACAAGGGAATAAATGTGGGTTAACTGGTGAACTCAGTTCGTGTTTTTTACTACAGTCCTCTTTACTTTATGAGCGACCCGATTCTTTCATTCCCTCGAACGATCCCTTTCTTTATTAATAAAGGACTGGAGTAACTTGGATAATCAGAATTCAGTCAAATCTTAAGGACACCCTTAAAATCAATCCCGTTCCTAGGGCCCTTTCCAATTTCCTTTAGTTGGAGTGATGGAAAAGGCCCTGGTAGGGAACGAGGTTTTGCTAAGATGAGCAAGTGTCCAAGTTAAAACGTATCACCGATGAGATGAAAAAAATGTAAGGTTTTTGTAGTGGTTGAGGCATACGTTTTTTCGAAGCTTCTTGAATTGGTGATCATTTCCTTCATTTTCATGAATTTTGTATTTGATTTAAGGCTGATACTGTTCAGAGAAATTAGAACCCAGTCACTATCAGGGGTCAAGGGTTGAAAGATTTCGAGCATGATGGGAAATGTAGGCCAGGTCTCGAAGCGAAGAGATGAAGTGTTTATTTGCGTTCTTTTTATATACTGGTTGACAGTCTTGTTAAATTTCCTACTCACGTTATAAAGACAATTTTACTCAAACCAGTTTTAAATGAATGAAAATCAGCTACAGAAAACGGGAAAAACTGAAAGATTTTTTGAAAAATATCTTTACTGACAACTATATAAATGGATTGATGACCTACTTGTAAGTCGACAATCTGCTTTTCGTAAACATCACGGGTTTGACACTGCACTAGTTAACTTGATTAAAAACTGGAAACTTAATATCGATTCTAAAAGATCAGTGGGGGTTGTATCTTTAGATCTTAGCAAAACCTTCGACATTCTATCCCCAGACCTCCTCCTGGCGAAACTTAACTGCCTACGGGCTTTCGTCCATGAGCATCAGCCTGATGAAAAGTTTCTTGTTTGGCCGTAAACAACATGTAAAATTTAGCGACAGTTTCTCTGATTGGTCGATGGTCTAAAGGGGAGTACCTCAAGGATCAGTATTCAGTTGGGACCACTCCTTTTAAATGTTATCTATCGTCAACGACTTGCATTTTTTGTGTTACCAAAACTAACTCGTATGGCTATGCTAATGACAATGAGCTCCACTTCAGTCGTGAATTGTCATATGGTCATTGAGACTGCTATCAGCGAAGACCTAAAAGAGTCAACGACTTCGTCTAAATAAAACTCACTGAAAGCAAATCCAGACAAATTCCAAGGTTTTGGCCAGGCCCCTAGAGTATCTTTCACTGATTTAAGGTTCAAAGTGGATGGTCAGGAACTCCAACAAGTGAATTATATCAAGCTACCGGGTGTTACTATAGATAAAAGATCAAACTTTCATGAACATATAGCTGGACTTTTCCGAAAAATCAGCAGACAAATAAGTGTTTTTAATAGATTTAAACGTCTCATTCCACTTGATGCTAAATTACAGTTGTATAATTCTTTCATTTTATCACATCTTTTAAAATTATCGTTCTACGGCATGGTACTTTTGTCTAAAGAGTGCATTCGGATAAACTTGACAAACTAAGTGAACGCTTTGCTCTTCGAAGTGTTTTTCAGGATAAGGAAAACGACTATCAAGACCTCTTCAATAGGGCTAGTAAGACTACATTTTACAATCATAGGCTCCAAAATATCTCTACACTAATATTTAAAGCATTGAATAATATTTCTCCATCCTATATTAAGGACTTATTTACTACTCGTAACACAAATTGTTAACTGAGAGGATCTAATATTTGATCCGCCTTACCTGGAATAAACACTACATTATATGGATCTAAATCCATTAGTTACTTTATACCCATGATATGGAATTTCTAAGATGATAATTTGAGAACTCAACCTGATCTTCAATCTTTTAAGAAATTTATACGGCAATTCAACTTTGAGAATTTATAGCAATATCTTCACATATATAAATATATTTTTTATTCTTAGATACATATTCATTTCTACTTTAATTCATGTACGTACACATAGTATATTTAGGACTTTTTATTTGTGACTTATTTATATATATATATATATATGCGCTCAGACTAGCACCCGTGTCAAGGGCGTAGCCAGGTGGGGTCCTGGGGTGCCCGTGACCCCCCCCCCCTTGGTAGGCCTTCTTTAGAGCAAACAACCTACAATATTCAGGTGGCGAAAACGCCATGACAATATCTTGGCCGTAAAAGCCATTGTTGAAAGCCCACTTTTTTAAAATTTGTTTTTTTTGTAAAATATTTTCGTCAACGGCTCTTGTACTTAGTTAATATGGGCCTTCATGCCTCGATGATACGACTGAGCCCGCTGATACACGCGGGAGAGCAGCGGTGTAAATGGTGAGTAGCCTCTGTGAACCCCCCCTTTGAAAAATCCTGGCTACGCCCCTGCGTGTGCTATACATGAGGTTCCAAGTACTCACTAACTTATATTTGCAGTCTGCTAAATTCTTAGTCGATAAATCTCATTTTAAGCATCTTCTACGAAGGAAAAAAATTTTAAAACCTAAGCAACTTTGAAACATATTTTAGCTTTAGTGTGATAGGATGAACTGCTGGCTCTGTTAAATTTTTGAAGATTTTTCTTGCAAATATTTATTTTTGAAAGCGTTCCTCTACTCTATAGTACCCCTTGCCTCGAGAGTGCCGTTTATAACGCAGAAAAAAACGGGTGCGAACCCATCAGGAAATGAGTACGGATCCTAAATGTTTACCAGTGTGAACTATGTGTACCATGTTAGCGTGGGTACGGAATCGTACTTTTACGGTTTGCATGGCATAGGCATCTCTAAGACCATTTGCTACGCAGGAATTCGGGTACAGAGCCGTCTAAAATGAAGAAAGTGGTGCGGTACAAAGTTTTGTACCAAGTTTGGGGCCATAGAGGTCTGTAGCCGATTTTCCTGCGGTGTAAACGGCCTTTAGGTCAGCAGTCGTCACTGCAGCTTTATTCAGGGTACCTGTTAACGTGCACATGTCTCTTTAAAGACTGCTTCATGTTGTTTTACTCCATTAACACGGTTGGTGTCTTTGATGCCCATCTACAAGCTTGCTTTTAAAACGGTTTAAACGAGTCAGTAGGGTAGTATATAACACTTTTGGTGTCTTCTGCTTCAACAACACGGTCTTCCAAGAACAAAAACATGGAAGGCGTATCCCTAAATTGACTTTCGATTTTTTCTTTTAATTTGAAATAAAAAAAAAAATGAAATACGTTTTAAACGGAAATGACCTCGATAAGTTTTGGTCGCTGTTGTTATGTTTTAAAATATTGCTCGACAAAATTGCATTTAATTACCGCTGTCGGAGGGAATTTGTATATTATCTTCTTCGTTCAATCGTAATATATGGTAAATACTCCAGGACAAAAGCATCAAAAAGATCCAAGAAAAAAAAATCACTTCAAGGACTGGTATTGTAGACACCTAGACTACTTTGAAAACACGACTTGTATTACATGCTTGCGGTCTACATTGGGTTGTCCTTACTCGGTAGAAACGCAGGTAAGGTTGGTCAGAGACATCTTGCCAACTTTTGTGGCCCAGGAATCAATTATTTATAACTAGAAGTCATAATAACTTTAAATGACAAACATTAACAACAAAAGTTTTGCCACATTTCAAATGGCATTTCAGTCACGTGAGACGATTGCACAATGCTATTGGTCCACGTTCATGAGTTCCATCCCACAGTGCCTCACGTGTTTTTATTTGCAAATTCCAATCACCCGCCATCTTGTTCCTGTGACTGAGCAACGCTCGAGGTTTGCCTTATTTTGAAATTGACATTTTAGAAGTGACTTCTCACAGTTGTGCAAGTTTCGATCGCTCTTTGTTCCTCTTTATTTCCAATAGAATATGACCAGTGTCGCAGCTTTGGCTGGGATACCCTCTGCTACAGGAACGAAGGTAGGCTGGCCTGCGCGTCCAGGCCATGTGCTGTGGTTAGTGAAATGAATCGACTGCGAAAACGACAACGGTTTTTCTACTTCCGTTGAAGTGATTACTTTCGAATGAGAGCGTCGAGTAAGGGGTGCAGGCTCGATTGTTTTTCATAAAATAAAAGCTTAATGATCTCCCAAATTTTTTTCTGTAAGAATCAATTTCTCGATCTGCAATCCTGTTAGGTTAGGCTACGTTTATCGTTTTGGTTTTAGAGGTATTAATGTTGATTTCCTTATCTCGCATAGGCTCCAATTGTGTGATTTCGTTTATTTTTCCGGGGAAACTTGTGGAATGACTCTCTAATGTTCGGAAACTTGTTGCAAGATGTGCTTGTCTTGACCTTCGCAGAAATTATTCGTGAAACGGTGCACAAAATCTTAAACCAAGGCTACATTGACTCAAGAAGTCGACGCAATTTTAATTCTTCAAGAGAGTTGTTTACATTCAAAAAGGCTCAGAACTGTTAATATTTATCTTTTTGCTGTATTCCTTGAGAGACTTCTCGTATTTTTTAGAATCCACGCAATGAAGTTCGAGGAATTAAAGCTGAAGTCTTAATTCCTGCAGCTTATTTTTACTACCTCGCTCATGGGCAGTAGATTTGCGTGGCATCGATTAGTCACTGCTTGGTAATTGACAAAGCTTATCTAACGACCCAAAAACGCTACATTTACGCAAAAGTTTTCGCTAGCTTTTCCAAACGAAAGAACTGCTTTGATATCTGAAGAAATTCCTGTAATCGACCTTGTGGCACCAACTCCAGCGGATGAAGTTAATCGTGAAAGAAAAACATTCTTTAGCTGGCGAAGTATCTCCATGACTCTTTTGTTTTCTATGAATTTTTAATGCAACTTTTTAGGTGTTTTTTGTTCTATTTTTCGATAACAGTATCACGTTCGCCTTTTACGTGAAATGATTATTAAAGGTGTGCTTTTGAGTGCCAAAATACGGGGCACATCTTGACAGTATCAGAAAATTCAGGCGCTGTGAGGAGGCAAAAGTTTCGATTATCGCCGATAATAATTGTTTACTCAATTATGTTGCTGGATATTCTTGGAATTACAATACATAAGCAAATGAATTAGTTCGTGTATTTAACGGGATACTCCTTTAAACCGAAAAGGAAAGTACCGAAAGTTTTCCTCGCGGAAACTGTCTTGAGCTACAAATTTCTTTGAATTTTTTTTCAAGTATGTGATTTTGCCTAGGGTTGTTTTCTCTCGTTGAAGAAAGTAGTTTAAACGTTAGAGACTGCGTTAAATGATCTTCAAAAAGAATCTTTTTATCAGTCACGTACAGAAGGGAATCATATAATGAAAATAAATATTAGGTGAAGTTCCTTGGATAGTTCTTTCTTGAAAATCGTGCAATGTCTGACTGATGACAGAAGTCCAATTATTCTGAGACTACCTGAGTAAAATATTAGTGATGATTGCCTTCAAGCCACCTCTGACTTCAACTCCTCTATTCATCATGGCACATTTGTAGACACCTTCTAATTAGACCTATTTCTTCACTTTTTACTTATGGGAAAGACAAAGTCAAAACTATAGATTCCTGTTATTTAACTTGTGCAACACTCTAACTAAGTGTAGCAGCTAATTCAATACTGGGCAGCTAGTCAAAATTGATATTTGTTTTTCTGATGTATTGTATATATTATATTGTCTAGAATTTTTATCCTTTTTTGCAGCGTACAGCTGAAGATCTACTGAGTATAGCAGGTTAGCTGTGTTCACTTTGTAATACCCACTGCCTTAATGTAAAATACTTTTAACAAATTCTTATGTATGCTCTTGCAGTGATTCTAGAATACTCTTCTATCCTCTTTGATTGTGAATTGTTAGAAGAAAGGTGAAAAAAAGAATGTAGAATTTCTGCCAAGTCGCCACCTCAACCACTATGTCCTATTAGAACTCATTTAAAGAGCTTTTCATTAGCCCTTTCATTCCCTGTAGTGACCAAAACAGTATTTCTCCTTACAATTCAATATAGTTTTGAGTAGAAGGGTGTTGAGAAGATAGAAATATATCAGTGAGCAGTTTTTGACTGACTTAATACTCAATTCTCAGAGCTAAACATATATGAAATGTATAGCAGACAGTGTGGAGAATTAAAATTTAGATTGTAGGAGTGGGGAGGTCATTGGTTTGAACCCAAGAGAAGCAGTTTATCATGTAATGTACTCTCTTTGTCTGGCTGAGAGTAGGATAGAAAAGGATTGTTGTCTGTGGCAGTGATATTCAGACAACTTGAGCAGAAGTCTTCATCAGAGGTGAATTATTTGTCACTTTCTCCAACAACAGCCTTTTTCAAGACTTCTTACCTAGATGATCAGACTACATACCTTAACTATAAAATACAGTTGATCACAAGAGTTGCTAAATTTATTTTAATGAGTAGTTTCTTAGAAATCGAGTTTGAAATAAAAGCTAGTGTTAAAAAGTCACGACGTTTTTACCTCTCTGAGGTCATTTTTAAGTGAGTAAGTTTTCCAAATCAGCATAAATATGTTGAAGCAAGTTGAAGACAATAAAGTGTGGCGAACGCTAAAATATGTGAAAAAGTGTAAACAATATACAATGGAAGAGAATAAAAGAATAAAATGATCGTAGCATGAATTGTTCGAAACAAATAGTTTGGCACAAATTGAATCGCACTGTTTGTTTAGCGTTGGTTTCAGTTCTTTGATAAAAAACATTTCAAAAACAAGACAGTCAAATTTGTTTCGACACTTCCTTAAGATTCGAAAACTCTGTGTGATGTCTTCTGGCTCCATGTCGTGCAGCTATCTGAGGTGGTGTCCGATTGCCAATCCTTTGTGTTCTTCAATTTGTTGGTGTAAGTGTCGGCACGTGTAGCCCACATAGCCTGCATCACACAGGCCACACTGAAATGAATACACCACGCATTGTTGACTCACAAGAGGCGGTTTGTCTTCCCTGACCCTAATTTCATTCTTGATCTTTTTACTTGTATAAACTGGGCTAATATCTACGTTGATCTTCCGACTGAGGTCAGCCAACTGTTTTCGTACTACATTTGCAGATTTCTGGTCCTTGTAGGGCAACGCGATTCTGACTAGGGCTTCTCTTTTATCAGCCATTTGGTATGTGAATCCTCAGACACTTAATTCAATGAATCTGCAAATGGTTGACTGCACAAGGTTGTCAGGATAGCGCAGTTGGGAGAAGATCTTTAAGGCGTTCACATTCCTCATGAAAAGACTTTCACGTGGACAAGAGTTGAAATGCATGGTTTAGCATGGTGATCAGCACTGACCATTTGTATCTGACGTCAACGTGACTGGGATAGTGTTGCAAAAGCCCTTTGTCCGTTGGTTTTCTGTAGACCGTGGTGTCTAGGCAGCAACCATTCCTGATAACATCCATTCCGAGAAAGGGAAGCCTACCATATTCTTGGAGTTCCATTGTGAAATCAATAGAGGGATAAGACTTGTTCAATATCTCCAGAAATTCTGAGGCTGCTTCCGAATCAGGCATTACACTAAGTGTATCATCTGCAAAGCACTTGTAGAAGATAGGCATCTTGTTCTCTCTTTCTAGCTGTTTCTCAATTTTACACATGAAGGCATTTGCCATGAGGGGACCCAGTGGCGATCCCATAGCTACACTGTCCACTTGTTCGTACAACTTTCCTTTGAACTGAAATCCCTGATTTTTGCTGGTGATTCTCACCAGCTCCATCAAATCTGACTTCGTAATGTTAAGATCATATTCACTATTGAACCAGTTGTTTTCAAAGGCTCTCTCTGTGATGCTCTCAATGGTTTCATCCACATGAACGTTAGTAAACAGTGATGATCCATCATACGACTACAAAACTTCACAGTCCTTGATTTTCATTTCATGAAAACTTACTCACTTGAAAATGACCTCAGAGAGGTTGAAACATCATGACTTCTTAGCGCTAGCTTTTATTTCAAAGTAAATTTATTTTGCTTTTGTATTTGTTTTTCAGGCCTTATGGGGGACCAAAAAAAGGTATGTTCTTGAGTGGTTGACCATCATGACTGAAATGTTCTTTCCGGGAGCATTTTATAAATTATCCCAAAGTTGTTTCATGTCTAGGAAATCAGGCAACCCTTAATAGGAGTTGCTCAACTTAGATTACTCAACTTAAATCAACTGCAATTGCAACAGATTCTTATCACTCCTTACTGAGATCCTTTCATTTGATAAATCCTGTGTATTAAATTATTATTAATGTATTCCAGTTACACTGAATCTTGGACATTTGAGAGTTTCCATTATTTCATCTAGAACTTTGTGGTGTACTCATTTGAGTCTATCATGAAAAATAATGTCACCCTGAATATTTAATGGCCCAATCTCTTAAATATTCATTACATATTTGTTAGTGTTGTTCTCCAAGATAATTTAAAGTTTTGAACTAACTGGTTCATTTAAAACATCTCCTTTAGGCAAGATTTGAGAATGCTCCATCTAAAGTGATACATGTTAGAAATGTACCAGTTGATGCTAATGATACAGAGGTATGCACAGCTTGGGCTGCTATTAATATTTGTAATACCTAGTTTGGAAAGGCAGGTGTACAGGTTTTCTGTTGCAAGTGACAGCTATGTGTTTTGTAGGGCATATGTTAAGTTGGTAAAATAAATGATAAGACCTAATAAAATTTCAAAAGGTATGTTTTCCCTGTTTATACTGTAGCCTTATATGGAGGGGTTTTTGAAAGTTGATTTACAATGTTGCACATTATTCTATTCTAGGTATTGAGCACTGTTTTATGAAGGTCAAAATTTTACACGTTATGTATATGTTGTAGTTCAATTTTATCCTTGGTTCAAATTTTATTTTCCTTTGTTTCAAACTCATTATCATACATTAACATGACTGAGAACAAAGGAAAATAAAATTTGAACCAAGTGTAAAATTGAACTACAACATATATATGCACATATGTGACCTCTCACGCGAAAACGATCCTAACGGTAGCCGTTCGAACAGTGAATGGAATGGCAAGCGAACGGGTGACGAACGGCTAGGAAAGCTGTTCGAAACGGATACTGTGAACGGATGAACGGCTAATTAAAATTTTCAAATGGATGAGGTCAAACGGACGAATGGCTAGAGAAAATTTTTGAACGGACGAGGTCGAACGGATGAACGGCTAATTAAAATTTTCAAACGGATGAGCGGCTAATTTTTCGAACACTGAGATGAGCCTCACAGATGAGATCGAATGGATAAACGGCTAAGCCATCCAACAAGTGATCGCCTGTAGAAATTATTTGAACAGATGGTTTCGTCAAAATGAATGCCGACACAGGCGTTCCAAGCTCTCGTCTTGAGCCAAAGTGAAGGATTATTTCATGAAAGTGTCACGCGAGATATTTGACACAATCTGTGAACAGATCACTTGAAACGAGTCGAAACTTGATCGTTTGAATAACTCGACTTCGCTTTCGGTGCATTCAAATGGATTATAATTGATATTTTTATTATTGAATTCGACCAATTAAGATAAGGTACAACCAAGGAACTTGCACGCTAAGTGCATACAATTCGATAGTTCTCAACTTCAATTCGGGTTTAAATTTCTATAATCCCAGCTTCCCTTTCACTTCATCAGAAATTTGTTGCCTTGGTAACTGCGAACAACTTGTGTCAATTACTGCCATTTCACACAATCACAAAATGGAGAATTCAACAAGAGAAGATATGGATTGCGATCACACCGAAAAATGTTTCTACCATCGTTGCCAAAGTGCCAAGTGAACGGCTGATAAATTTTCTCAAACGGATAGCTCGAACCATTCAAACTGATGATGAATATTCAAGAACGGATAGCTGGAGGCGTTCAAGCGGATTATGAATATTCAAGAACGGATAGCTAGAGGCGTTCGAATGGATGATGAAGTTTCTTAAACGGATAGCTCGAACGGATGATGAATATTCAAGAACGGATAGCTTGAGGTGTTCAAACGGCATGCCAATCCAATCGAACGGCTGGTGAACGGCTATCCATTTAGAAACGGCTAACCGTTCGGAATGTTTTCCCTTGAGAGGTTACATATTTTTTTATTTAATTAATTAATTTTTTTACAGCTTCTTGCACTTGGACTGGAATTTGGACGAGTAAAAAATGTACTTTTATTAAAAACCAAACGACAGGTAAGGTTTTGAAATACAGTTTTTCTTTCAACCTTTAAACCCCTAACCCCATGAAAAGTATCTCATTTTTTCCAACAATATCACCCCTGAATCAGACGTGTAGGTTGGGGAATAAAGGAAATTACTCGAGAAGCTCTTGATTGGTTGACAAATTCTCCTTGGAAGTACCATAATAAAGAATACTGATGTCAGGTTGTAAAAAGTCAAGCAATGATATAGCCACTTCCACTATTTAGTTTTGTTTTGTTGTTTGTTTACTTGTTGTTAGTTGGCTGGTTTGGGAGAATTTTTGAGGTTTTTGATTAGAATATCAGATCTATGTAATGATACCAAGGTGCTACAGGCTTTCTATAAATTGGGCCCAAGCCTTTCATTGTGAGGAGCAATCAGTTGATCAATTCTCCTTTCAACTTTGATATACTGTTTATCAGGGAGGTGATGATAACTAAAAAGCTTATCAATTAGAGTAGGGCAGATTGTCTTGATGTAACTTAAAATTTTTACCCCAAAAATATATATTTATATCAAGTGTCTTTGCTAGTTGTGGACTGTGACTGTATGTGTAGACATAAGGTCTTCTACAAGTATGTTTTAACAAGTAGTGGTAAATATTTATTTCAGGGTTTTATTGAAATGGAGGACAAACAAACAGCTGCAAATTTTCTCACTTACTACTCGCACGTATCACCAACCATCAGGTGAAGTATCTGTTCTGTTTTCGAGGTGCCTTTTACTGTAGCAGATAAGTTACCATGTAGCTACGAGGAGGTTTGTACAGTGGATGTGCCCCCTTCCCCATTTGTCATAAAAAAGAAGTAATTAAAGGGGTGTACAAAACGAAGCCCTGAGAATTGATTGACTGTTGATTTTCAGAAAAAGATTAAATGTCCTGGCCATTCCCCACTTCTATCCCAATTTGTAGTACAGCAACAGAGTAAGTGTCACTCAGCAGAAAATATGTTTTTGTCCTTGTAGTTAATCGTAGGTGCGATTCATGTAGCTTGGAGGATATTTCCATTAAGTAGTTTGGACAATCAAGAATAACACAATCCCTGTGATCACAAAAACTTATGAAAATTTGTCAGAGAAACATATCCAAAAAGGCTCTGAAATGTCACCCCTTTTACCCTTGTGGTGAGCTCTGCCTCTCTATGGTTGTGCATTGTTTAGGAAGGAGTGCTTATGTTGTTGGTTGATTAGTTTGGGTTTATTGATGGTGTTACAAACAAAAAATGTATATTGACAAAGCTAAATGTAAATCCAGGACACTTTCAGTTATATCAACACATTTATTTATTACACAACTTGGGCAGTCAGAGGGCCAAAAATCAACCAATCAAAATGCTCTATTGCCGGTCCAATATTCTCTCAGTATTGGACCGGGCACTGTCCCGAATGGTCCCGAATGATACCGCACTTGTGTCCCTTTGAACTTCAGTCGTATAATAAATCTCTTATTAACAAAGCTTGCTCAGGACCGTACTGGAAGAATATCAGCCCTCTGTCTTTTTTGTCGGTCCGTACTGTCAAGACCTCGGGCCAATATTCTCCCAGTACAGCCCTCGTGCTTGGTTGATAAGATATATGTATTTTCCTTTTAATGTCATTAGAGGTCAGGTGGTGTATGTGCAGTATTCAAATCATCCCGAGTTGAAGACTGAACCCTCTCAGCATTCCTCTGGGGTAAGCATCTTTTATTATAGCTGGAGACTCTTTTGTTTATTTAGTTTTGTATTTGTCGGTTATTGATTTTATATTATATTGTCACAGACTTCCAAAATCATTGCTGCTGGTGGCGACTATCCTTACTCAGCAGATGGGCAGGGAGCTCTTGCTGCTGCTGCTGCGGCTGCTGCCAAAGGTGTGACGGGAAATAAAAGCAATGTCATCAGAGCAGTGATTGACAAGTTATGGTATCCAATAACTGTTGAAGTCCTCTACAAGGTACATGTATGTTTAGTTATGGTATCTTACTCATACTCAACACATTTTTTGTTCAAGTCTCCTAAACCTAAAACCTATAGGTAATGATACAATATTGCAGAGCCAGTTTTGCATGCAAAAATACAACTATTTTCTTGAAACTGCAGATCAAGATCCTTAAAAATGTCTTCAACTATCTGGATCCTTGATTCTTGATCCTTGATTTTCAATATATGTAGTTTTGAGGATTGAGTTTCAAGTTGAGACTATCAAGTTGAGACTTTTTGATAATTTGGAATAGGATTTACTGTGATATTTTTATAAATAAGTCTATAAATAGGTTTTTAATTTATTCATATTTTATTACCAGTGGGATCTTTTTAATTATTTTAATATTATGAATTGTAAAGCGCTTTGGTCAATTAGTGGAGTTAGCGCTATATGAATTATGTTAAATTAAATTAAAAATTAAAAACTTACATGTACTATTGAATGGTACTGAACATGTAAGTTGGAAGAAAGATAAGCAAACTGCTTGGAAAATAGGACAATGAAGTTAGAAAGTCCTGATTGAGTTTAGTTTTGCATCTGAAATAACCAAATTGCTAAATAAAGTTGTTAGTCAACAGTTGCAGAGATCTGAATTTTTGCTTCCTGAACAGATATTCTCAAGTTTAGGGACCATTCTTAGGATTGTTACCTTTACAAAAAATGGTAAGTAATATTTATATACTGGATCGGATCAAACTACCGTATATACATATATATGCCATAGAATTCTTACCTATTTTGTGTATGTTATTGACTAATTTTCCAGTAAACTTTGACATTTTTATTTCGCCTCTCAGGTCAGTTTCAGGCGCTAATAGAATTCACCACCGTTAATGAAGCAGAACTTGCAAAAGTTGTAAGTAGTAAATCAGTCAAAATCTGTTTTATTTTGTCTTGTTTGTGTTATCACATAACATGACATTGATATTGTAAAATTGACTTTTGCTTTGCTTTTGTTCCTATTTTAAGACACTTGATGGACAAAATATTTACAATGGCTGTTGCACCTTACATCTTGAATTTTCCAAATTGACCACATTGACAGTGAAATACAACAATGATAAGAGCAAGTAAGATTTGTTTAATTGTTATTATGCATGTTTATTTGTCATAGCAAGCAAGGCATGACCCAACTCCCTGCACCTGTGCTGGAAGGTGCAGCTATGCAGAGTGCCCCCCCCCCAACTTCCAATATACATAGGCACACGCGCACACTTACTCGGTCAAATAATCGCTTAGACTGGTTTAGACCATGCTTTGTTTACGTTCTGCCTCACTGATTAAGGAGTGCATCTGATTTAGTTGTTATTGAGTTGACAATCTCAAACAATTCTTTTTTGTGCAGAGATTACACCCGACCTGACCTTCCCTCAGGTCCCAATGATGGCCCTTTTGGTGGAGCTGACCTTGCTGGGTTACTTGGTGAGTTCCTTTGTCAATATTGATGCACCATATTTTTCCTTGTGTTGTTAAAACTTTTATCCACATACAGAATATTTCAATCATTATCTTTCCAACACTGGACACTTGCACCCTTTCTTGCTTCACTTTCCTTTGTTTCTTCAAACTTATGTTGTTGTTGTCAATGATCGTTTTGTTTTGTTTTTTTATTTGTTATTGTCCAAGAATACACTGACACCTACATGTAATCAATGATTCCCTTGCTTCAGAACTAGATCATTTTTTTTCCCACTTAGATTCATGTTTTCTTACTAATGCTCTGATAACTTTCTTATTAAAATTAATAGATCCGCTTCATTTTGTTTTGAGCATGATGCAAAGAAAAAAAGACCCTTCAAGGGCTCGACACTAACGGTAGCCCACTAGGCACAGTTTAGTCCAAATTCAGTTTTGGCTACTGGTTTTCAGTTTCCACTAAGATGTCACGAGCCACTTGGCTAATAAGTTGAATAGTTAGTGTTGAGCCCTGCCTGTACCTGCCCCCCCCACAGACATGCACAAGAATTTTAACCTCAGACCATCAGATGTGGTTGTCTGTGATCAGTAAACTAATCAAGAACATAAAAAAAGGGTCTAAGGTTTGAACCCTTGCAGGAAGTCAGGGTTTTTTTCGTCATCTTTCCTCAATCAAAATTTGGTTATTTGTTGTTATTTCTTTTAGCTGGTGGTGCAGCTGGAGGTGCTAGTTTAATGGGTGCTCCAGCTCTTTTGAGTCTTCTTCCTCAAGGAGGATTGCTCCCAGCAAGTAAGACAGTACAATTGTACACATGATCAGATCACTTATAACTCTGTAGACAGCTTGAGTGGAAGACACAAGAGTCATTGCCATGAAAACAATGACTTTATCTCATAATCTCTCAAAATGTTGGTCCTTACAGCAGTAACAGTGCTTTTAAGACAACTGTTTTAATTACTCAATTATTACCTGGAAGAATTACCTCAATTATCACAATTACCACCAGCTGAATTACCTCAATTACCACCTGGAAGAGGCATTGTTTTACAAATTTAGAATTGTCGATTTAATTTCTTTTTTCCTACTTTCATTTGTGTTATGTTTATCCCCTTTGACCTCCAAGTGTTACTTTCATCTAATTTCTCTTTACTATATCACCCCTGATTGTGAATCAAACATCAAGGTCTCAAGAAAAATGGAAAAAGTTACTAATTAAAGAAACGTGTGATCGTTTAACAAATTCTCCTCATCAGCACCATGGGAAATGTAGAGAGGACAGCATAGAGAGTACTCGTGCTAAAGGAGCTTTAGCTAACAGTTTATATAAAAATCTATGAACTAATTTCAGATGATATTTCTCTTAGGTTTCTTTGGTGCCACAGGCGGCCGAGGAGGGTTGAACATGGGAGGGTCTCCTGTTGTTCTTGTTAGCAATTTGAATGAAGAGGTAGACACTTTGTAGGCTGTTGGTTGAGCTCTATTGATTAGGGTTGCATTGTGTGGAGCAATGCACAAATGAGAAAAGTGATGTTTTTAATACCATTTGTTTGACCAAAAGTAAACTTCTTGTAGTATTTTTTTACTGATTCAGGGGCACATTTCTCGAAAATGGGCCACAAATCAAGAAATGCTTCCTCCTGGGCCGCTTTAAAGGCTGCTGGCAACCATTACCTTAAAGGTTGACCAAAAAAAAACCTCTGAATAGCATGAGAGCTTTTGGTTTTATTGTGTCTTTGGAAATCTTTTACAGCCTGTACCATTTTAGTAAACTATTTGTTGGTCCTGAGTGATCTCCTGACTTGTAATTCTAATACTCAGCTAAAGAACATTCAAATTTATCTCATATCATTTATGCTGTCATGCCATGGAATAACTGAATTTTGGAGATAAATTAATATTTCTTCTTGATGCTGTCAAAACGTGTATTCCCAAAGTCTATTTTCATTTCATTGCTATACTCATTATTTTGTTTTCTTCCTTGCTCCTACATGTAAGTAACACACATTGTTTTAATTTCCTTGTTTTGTTTTGAGTCTTAACCTCTTTCTTTCTCTTATAGCTATACCTGCAGCCTGGATTTTCTGAAACTTAAACTCATCTTTTGTTTTTTTCCTTCTTTACCCTTTCATGCTGTGTTTGCGGCGCTGACTGATGGTCACCCCCCTCTCTCTCTTGCTGTCCACTACTCACGTCACTTGGAATCCATTTTCTAGAAGATAAACTGTGACATGCTTTTCACTCTGTTTGGTATGTCTTTTTGCCAAAGTCTCTGTCATCCAAAGCCTTTCTTTTTCATTTGCTTTCCATGGTTAAAGAAATTTGTTTTTTTTTTTTTTTGGTGATAAATCTCCATATTGATATAACTTGTCCATGTTTTATTGTTTTAAAGTTCTATTTTTCATTTATTTTGGGCTGTTTCATCAAATAACTAATGCTTCTAACTCTTTTTGGGTCACTCTACAAGACCATATATTTGCAAGATCATTTTTAAACCATTACTTTTTCTGAAAACTTGACATTATTTGACATTATTTGACATTATTTGACATTTGTGCTGTGCTTATAGACCTAATTTGCCATATTGGCAGGGATTGCAATAATTAAAAAAAGGAAATGGTTCTAAAAGGTTTTCATTTGAAAACAACATGCATGTATCTCTTAAAAGCAGTTAGAAATAATAGGCGAAGGGTATGCCTGACTTGCATAGATGCTGAGAATACAATACCCTTGTGTCAGTATAAAAAAAATAAACATCTCCATCTTTTAATTTGCTTTCACTTGAAGGTATTTAAAACCCCAAAACAAAACTAAGGACTGGTAATTCTTTATGATGTATTGTTTATTCACTCCCCAAGGACTACTTGAGAAGACCGCATAATGTTGTACTTTGTAGGTAACTATGGCGATGTAATCCGTGTAAAGATTCTGTTCAACAAGAAGGACACAGCTCTAATCCAGTTTCATGACCCTCAACAAGCCCAGACAGGTAATGAAAATCTTTTGTGACTAAATATATCACGAGGAATGTCTTGGAACTGAAACCTAAAAACAAGCAAACAGTGTCAAGAGGGGTAAAACTCTAGCGACTGAGTGCTGATTTGTCTTGAATGCAGTTTTGCATTGGGTTACATAGGAAGGTGGTAGAAGCTTTTTTATTTACAAAATTTAATGTGAAGTTCAGTGAACTCTTGTGTTACATGTATGTTGGATTATTATATGGCAAGGTAGTCTTGAGGTAAATCTGTGCTTCTAATTGGTTCTTGATTTGTCGCCATAGAATATTTGTTTCCATAGAAACATATAAGCTGTGTATTTTTCTTCTCAAAAGGTGGCAAATTCAAAATACACAAGTTAAGTGTGAGTTTCTTACAACAAACTTCTCACTTTATCCTCGTTGTACCTAGTAAGGCCCTTGTACTCTGTAAAAAGTTGTTATTTTTAGTGGTGAACTGAAAATGCTTTTCTCATCGTTCATTCCAGCAATCAGAAATCTGAGTGGAGTCTGCATGTATGGAAAAGAAATCAAAGTGACTTTGTCAAAACACACTTATGTTTCCATGCCCAAGGAAGGAGATGTAAGACATTCTGCTTTTATTATTTGCTTTAATCCTTAAACTTCCATTAGTGACCAAGACAGTATTTCTTCTTACAACATCAATATAATATCAAGCAGTCAACCTGATGAGAATAAACAAAATATCAATTTGGGGATTATTATATTAGTTGATCAAATACCTAGTTCTCCAAATTTATATCATAAGAATTGTATGGCACTTAGGGAAGAGAATTACTTAACAGATCTTTAATTGAAAGAGTTGAGCTGTTTATGTTTTTGGTTGCATGTATGTTATGGCAGTTTCAAAAATCAAGTTCTTCCATGCGTAGCCCAGTTGAATTGAAGGGGATGTTGCAAGCATTTTCAAGTCATGATATCACTGTCAGGTTTCCTTAATGATTCAATGATGATATTTGCCATTATTTAAGATGTTGTTTTTGTGTTTTTAGGAAAATAATCTAACAAAAGATTTCACCAATTCACCCTTACATCGCTTCAAGAAACCAGGATCCAAAAACTTCCAAAACATTTTCCCTCCTATCAGAACACTTCACGTATCAAATATCCCGTAAGTAAATGTTAGAATACAGTGTAACTAGTGAATACTTAAAACACTCTCCTCTTTTCCTTTTTTTTTTTTTTCTATATATACAGAATTAGCGTTTGGAGAAGAAGTAGTCTTCGTGTAGGAATTTAACAATGCTGAGAATAACTATTTTGTTCAATCTTGGCCTTAGGGACACAGCTACAGAAGAGGAATTAATAGATGCTTTCTCTGCTTCTGGAACAGTAACAGAATTCCGCTTCTTTGCGTAAGTGATGAAATACATGTAATATTGCAATTTATACATGTCCATATGTATGTCTCTTTTTACTTTTTTACATTTTTTTTTATGTATAAAAAGAAATGTACATGTGTGGTCATAGGTCCTGTGATTTTATTTTTCATGGTAGGATGCTGCAACCTTTGCAGAGTTTTGGTAATTTATGACACTTTTTTTCCACCACAGGAAAGACCGCAAAATGGCCTTGGTAACTATGACAACAATAGAGGAGGCAATTGATGCTCTTATTGTAAGTGTTATTTAGCACTCTGATTTTTCATTTTGGGTTTTAAAATTTTGCATGCATTGTGTCCTCCTATCCATCAAGTTTTTTCATGTTGTGGTTTTGGTTTTGTATCAGAATCTCATCTTCCCCTGGGATTAAGGGCTTTCAACAAAAGCTGGTTACCAGTAGTCTACTGCCTCCTTTAACATCTCTTTAACCTTCACTCCCATCATCTGGTTACCAGTAGTCTACTACCTCCTTTAACACCTCTTTACCCTTCTCTCCCATCATTTTGTTAGTAATTCTTCTCACTGTCTGCTGTACAATTCTTGTGATGTTACTTTGGATAATTTTTTTAATTGGATCAACTAATAATCCCCCAGTTGATTTCTTCCTTTATGCTGATCACTTGTCTGTTTGATATTGTATTGATATTGTCAGGGGAAATTCTTTCTTGGTCACTCATGGGAGTTGAAGGATTAATCTACAGGCAAGCTGTCGTGGTTGGGTTTTGGCTTACAGCCCTTTACCTGTTACAACTTCTATGCCACTCATGCAGCCACCTATGGAAAATGTTATTGAACCCCAGAATGTCTGTTTAGTTTTAAACTGTGCATGGGATTGGAAAGTGCATTAAAGAACTGTTTGGTAGTACCTTCATGTAGATTTACTAATTTTCCTTTCTATCTCTCTCCTTCCAACAGAAAATGCACAACTACAAAATCACAGAGTCTAATCATCTCAGAGTATCTTTTGCCAAAACAAGATCATCCAACTGACCATCTTAATCTAACCTGCAATCACACACACTTTTTTAGTGAAAGCTCAAATTTTGTCTGTGCCGAAAAAAGCTTGTATGATTGCAGGTTCCTCCACATCATGCACAAGTTTTTCAAGCTCATGTTAGTTAACCCTCCATGTATATGCAGCTGTACGTACATGCGTTCCGATGCAACTGTCATTTTAATTAGTTACATACTGCCTGTTCAAAATAAGGGATTCATTTTTTGAAGTGTTCTTTCTCTAAAAGTTTCACAGGATGAAAACATAAAAATTTCCTACATTTTGGGATGACTGCATAATGTTGTACTTTGTAGATAAACCATGGCTTGAATTGGGAAATTCAAATTATTGGAATTATAGCATCCAACTTTGTGTTCTTGGCAATTTTCTACTCTCTCTTTTTATTTTAATTTATGCTGTGCTTTTTCTGGATTTAACATACAAGTAATCTAGATTTTTGTTGGAAGAAAAGGATTAAAGGCAAGGGTTGCCTTTATTGGACAAAAATAATGTCCTTTGGGTGTTAAACACCTTGTTGCCTCTACATCTACTGTTCTTGTTAGATGTAGTTTATTGCCTCTTGGTCCTTGTGTAATTCAGATCTCAAAAAGGGGTTTTTTTTTCAAGTTCATCAATTTTACTTTAACATCTGATATTTGTTGGGAATTGAATCATCTCCTAGATAAGTGGTTTTAAGCAAGTCAGTGAATATGCCAATAGCTTTTCTTCTTTTTCTTTGGAGGTAAATCCAAGTGGGGGTTTTATTTGTACTCAAGATGTGTTTGACAATTTGAATTGGCCAAGGTATCTGCCATTCAATATTTCATTATCATGAATTTGATTGATTTGGGAAAAAATAAATTTGATTAACTGAATTGAATTTATTTGTAAAACTTGCATGGGTGTTAGATTCATGCTATAAGTAGGGTTCTTAAAAATTCAAGGGAACAGATAGGAAGTTATAAATGTTTAAAACCAAATTTTTTTCCATTTGATGCTTAGGGATTTGTTGTATGTGGGGGGGAGGCCTTGTCAAGGTAGCATTAGACATGTTAATCTTGTTGTTTGTAGCAGCATGTAAAATGAGAAAGATTACGAAGTAAATAAAGATTAATTTCTTACTTTGTGGTTTCTTTGTGCCAGTCTTTCTTTATCTCTTTGTTGGAGCTGACATTGTGAAAAATAATGAGAGAAATGAACTTTGTCTCCCCTCTCTTTTCTCACGGAACCTCGGGGAGCTAATCTTGTGGGGTGGGGGGGGAGAGAAAAAATTTGAAATGGTTTCAGAAGTCGAGTTGAGCATGGCTATGCGTTGTGAATTTATTTCTATGCGCCCAATTTCCAACGGAAATCGCCAATTCAGGAAATAAGTGACTTCTGCAAGATTTTCAATTCACTTTGCAGTCGTTGTCTGGACTAACCACACACCGGCTGCGAAGGAGACATTCAAACTCAACAGGGAGTACCCTAATACACGTTTTCACCTCGGTGAGGTATTATAACAATCATAATGCAAACTTAGGTCCACAATTTCAGGAGATGGAGTTGTCATTCTTAAAGTGGACTGGTGGGTACGAGTGAAGTGAACGCCCGCTGTTTTTTTACTCACTGGTTCCAGTTCCCATGGAGGTCAGATGGACACGTTTTACGTTGCCACGTTTTCTTGCAACATAGCGCCTGGCGATAATTTACTACTGTTTTCAAGCCCAGTGAAAACTTTACACTTCCTGGCCACACTTCAGGTAATACATAATGAAAACTATGCTAGTGTGCGAGTTCCTTTCCTGGCTCTGAAATTTGCTGCGTAGTTATGATTGACTTGTAACATCTATCGATATATCGGCCTGGGAATTTTGAGTTATGGTGGAGTCGAGAAAGTTCACTGAAGCGAATTTTGGTCAAACGATCGATGAAGTGCAAGCCAACGTAAGTCAAGTTCTACATTTCTGAAGCAACTTGTGAATTTATTGGTTAGAAAGAATCGAGTATTTTGATCGGAAGTTGTAGGATGCCCGTTTTACCATCATTATTGTATGCACTTCAGCTCCACTGTTGTAAGTGGCGAATGTTTATGGTCAGATCAGCAAGATTTTTAAATTATTAATGGCTGTTAATCATTTAGTTTCCAAATCCGCAAGAAGATGGTGGTCATCAGTGAGAACCGTCTTCGATCACAAAAAAGATGCTTCCCGTTTTCTGCATGATGGAACTTAGAAAAATGGGAACATGGTAAAATTTGAAGAGATGTTCCAAGATCACTGCAATGCTTTCCTCATGCGTTTTCAGTTTTCAAACTTTTTATTGATTTTTTTGCCGTTCAGTGCCAACAAAGTGACCAACGTGAATGACTCGCCATCGAAATTCTTTCCAGTTTGGTACACTAAAACACAATAATGAAGACTTGAAGGAAACGCATTTACCAAAAGCCTTACCGAGTCCCAGGGAGGGAGTCACCAGGCATTGAAAAATCCGGGTTATTGATCATCCCCATTATTTCCGGACTTGTCAGTTTGTGTTAGGTGGTATTCACTAGGTTTGCCATTATTTCATGAAAATTGAGTGTACTGAACTGGGTAGAATCAAAGTTGATCCTTCTGAGTTTATCTTAGCGAAAGCTCCGTACCAGATTACTTAAAGCATCACTCACTTAGTGAATGACAGCTACATTACCCACGATCAAGTATTTCAGTTTGTATACTGTCATCTGATGGTGCAAACATTTCTTATTGAAAAAAAAAAAAAGAAGTTAGCCCCCCTATATCCATTCAAACCAATTTCTCGCCAGTTATTTTTCGGTTAATTTCAAATTTTTTCTCAGAGCGCGAAGGAAGGACTTCGTGACGCGAACATCTTGACATGAACTGAAGAGTTGCTTTATCAAGAAAAAGGTGTGCTGACTTTGTTTTATTCTATGGTAAAATTTCTCGCAGTGGTCTGAGAGCGTTGCGAGTAGTAAATGACGTTTTTAGCAGCTTTCCTCTTCAAGAACGAAGAGCCCTCATGTTTATTGTTAGACGAATCCGTATTAGACGGACGATTTTAGTTAGGAGAAACATGGAGTCATTCGACGGTCACATCGATACAGATTTCTCTTCTTTATGCTGGTGTTTTTCTGACTCCGATTTCATTGTGTACCACGCCACATTCCTTCACCGGGTGTCCATCGTGGGTTTGTTATACACGGTCTCAAATCAAACTGATACATTCCAGCCACTTTAGAGATGTTAAACACATTAGGAAAATGGCACGTCTCCGTAATACGAGTTAATTTTGGAAGTTTTAGAATTAGACGCTTATCTGCGCTATTGCGCCAAAAGTTGGTAATCATTTCTGGAGAGCTGCCGTGCACGCCAAGATATTTGTCACAAATCCGAGGAAAATTCTTGAAATGGTCTAGCTGTCTTGCTGGCGGGTAGTGATGAAGCCGCTGATCGTGAAATTCTATCAAAGTCACCTTACTGCCATTCAAAGTACTAAGCCAAACTGCAATTTGTTGATCGCTATGTGGATGGCATAAAATTGTCTGTGGGTCTTGTGAGAGGAACCGCTCAATAACGTCCGAAGAAAATACTATCCACGCTTCATCGACATAAATGATGTCTTTAAATGAGCAGTGATATGAACCCCAGACTAACGATTTGCTCGGTCTATGATACAACTCCGATTTAAGGTTTTCCAAGCATAAGAAATAGTCATCATCCATGTGTAACATAAACTTGAATTTAAATTTTGCTTTCGCCCACAATATCTGGTACAAGAAGCGTATTCCAAAAATTCTTGTTTCTTCAAATGGCATAAACTCAATATCCCTGTGAATCTTCTGCTCCGCGGAAAGATTTTTTTGTAGGTCTGTAGTCAACCGGAGACCATCGGTGAAGAACACACACTTAACCTGAAAACCAAGCAAAAACAGAGAACGAAAGAAACAGAGAACGAAAGAAAAAAAGAACGAAAGAAAAAAAATTTAAAAAATGATTAATGAAAAGCTGAATATGGATTCAACTGCGATTTCCCTTCTCTTTCGACCATTACTACTCCCAATGCCCTTGATGAAGCCTGCAATGCACGCGTCTTGTTAGGACGAGTTAAAGTTAAAAAGCGCGTGATCGTTTATTCAACCGTCCATGTTTAATTTTGTGTTAGAGTCGACGGTAGCGGAAGGGGGCGGTAAGGGTCTTTACTTCCCTACCTTTACCCCTTCCTATCTTTTACTGTCTCCCACCCCCTTGGTAAAAATTAGTTTCTCTCTCCAGCCTTCCGCTTCCACTGCGATCAAAGATGGCGGCCATAATTTTCGCCAAGAAAATACAGAGCACTCGCTCGCCAAAGTTACGCCTGCACTGCAGGTTACCCTTGATGCTTTTGGTCAGCGTTTCAATTTGCGACTAAGGTCAAGGGGAACGCGAGCGTTGGAAGCGAGAACACCGGAACGGCCACTCAACAAGCAACCGATTGATTATCTTTTGTGCATGCGCAAACCACAACATAGTGCGGGAAAGTCATGCCACTGTTTACCGCCAAGCTTTCGTTACCTTGAGTGAGTAACGTCCTATTCAACCGGAGAAACAATACCATTAGTCTCTTCATGGTAATAAGGCCGTGATAAGCTGAACCATCAAGGCACGAGCAACTTGGGTTTCGCGTCGACTTAACCTTCTGTTGTGTTTCTCGGGCGCAGTGCGCTAAATTCTCCCTCCAGCTGAAAGTACATAAATTTTACATGGCCCTCTGGAACTCACCTCAGTTCCATCGCAGTTTTTCCACCACGTTGCCCTGATTGCTTCTCTTCTGTCAAATCTTGAAGGAGCCGTGGTAACAATCAACAATAACATAACAGAGACTTTGTTAACGACTTCTTGTAAACTGCTCATATTTATCACGGAATGCGCTACTGATGCCAATTTATCTTCAAGGGGTGCGGTTTGCCTGTGGCCATTTAACACTTCGTCTTTTGACGCGTTGTTAAACATGTCTATGAGGGGTTGTAACCGATTGTAGCTTCTGACCTGTCGTTGTATAGTATATTTCTGGTTAGTCGATACATAGGTTAGTCGTGGCCAGGAGTTATTGTTTATGAAGGAAAAACTTATAATCAGGAGTACCACCAAGGTGAGAAGAAATCCTGCAATGAGGCGAGAACGCGACCACGGATTGTTAACTAAGAACATTCTGTACTGCGCTGAGGTGAAGGTTCTGAGCACCAAGAGCCAACAGTTACCTGAAAAAAAAATTAAAATGGAGAGAAACTTTCAGTTGGTAGAACGTGTATTTAAAGATATGATCTGCCACTTGATTCATATATAACTGAAAATAGAACGTCGGAAGGGGTGAGGGGGCTGAAATGAACTAGCATCCAGGCCCCTTCAATGAGAATAATGATACTCCCACTCGCCATAATACATCAGAAACCGGAAGAGGCTCTTGAAGTTTTAGCCACTTAGGTCTTGTTTTTGCGCAGAAAAAAATGAAAAACTTATGAAAAGTGCTAGAAAGCATTTAAGAAAGCATGTAACATACAGCCCTAGGTTTTAATACTCTCAAAACAGTAAATGACAGCGTTTCGAGAGACATTGTGCAGGTATAAATTCTTTCCGCTGAATACAGCGACAATGGCCGGCTACCGAACCCCTTTCCGCACGAGTTCCGTTCGGAGCGCGAAGATTTTCCTACGAGTCACGAAATACCACGAGTGAAAAAAACGCGTGGTAAACCCACGGTATTTACTTTACGCGGTATTCATCCTGCGGGTAGGATTTCGAAAGGCGTGGCGTGATCCCGTTTTTATCGACTCACGCTATAATTGTGAAAGTAATTTGAATGTAAATACATTCAAATACAACTCCTCTGCTCTCTAAGCGATCAGGCGTTTTTCTTTTTCTTTTTTCCCTGTTTTTGGTCGGATGTATTTACAGTTATCAAGAAAATTAAGCCAAAGTCACGCTAAGGAAAACAACAAGCAAAATATATTGTATATTTGTTCTCCGCTTCTGACGAGCCGATGCGTCACCTGAATGCCAGCGCGCCTTCAGTTCTCTCTTACCCTGAAAACACCACCTTTTACTTCAATTTGTCGTTCCAATGATTGGAGTATTTCGAAACTTTAAATCCATTAGTTTGTGATGCTATTTTATCGGTTGAACGGAAAAACCTCTTTCAATTGTCTCTGAATTTGGACTGCCACCCTAGATATTACTCTCAATCTTGATGAAACGATCTGGATAAAAGAGTGAAAATAAAAAATGACATGCTTACCCAAAAAGCAAGAAATGAAAGCTTTTCTTGTTCAATGCTTTGAATTTAAGTACTCTGAACACTGGAGCTGAAGTTACGTCAGCCAATGTTCGTGCTGCTTAAAATGCAGTTTGAACTTCTGTCAGAAACAGAACCAATATATTACATGAGGCATGGTGCAGTATTGTGGTCAAATATTATTCTTTTAATTTCTGGTCCTGAGGGAAACAGCGTGCGTACTCAAGAAAAACATTGAGACACGAGAGAAGACAAAACTAACTGTTTCCCGGGAGGAAAAGTATACTAAAGAATACAATGAATATATGAAGTTCATATATTTTGAACTGCGGTATTAAATACGTATGATGCACGATCCTTCGCAGTAGATAGCGCTATTTATGCAATAGCGAAAATCAGACTTGAAAAAAAATCAGGCCTGTACGGGATTCGAACCACTGACCTCTGACCATTGTATTTTCAAGGATAAGCGAAGAGCAAGAGCCGAATTTATAATTTTCGGTAATCGCCGAGAAGTTCGGAGAAGAGAGCTTCAAAAGTATCACGCTATCATAACACCACTTGTCTCGATTACGTTCTGATCACATGCAAAATCCGAATATTTATTGTATTCAATGATGTCTTCCACTCTGGATACATTAAATTTCATGCAGGGTGATGTTGTAACTAATCAGCCAATCGCAAACCTGTTTAGAATAAGAGAAACCCAGAAGTAAATCGCGGGTTTTCAACAATGGGTTCTATTTAAATATCTCTGAAAATAGCAGAAGGTCGATGTCAATATTCTACACAATAGGTACTTTGGGCTTCTCTATTCTTCACGATAAACACGTTAAAAAAATAGTTTTCAATTGTTTCTAATAGAAGCTGTAGAATCTTTCACTGCTATGTCAACTTAAGCTAACCCTCGAAATCAGTATATTTTTTGTATGCCTGGCAGAATCGACATAATGATATTCATGAATCATTAGAATCAAATAAGCGTTTTCCTTGTCGGATGAACCTAATTTCTGAGCTAGTCTTGTTGTGATCTTGATTTAACAGAATCTTCAGAGAACGGCCAAATTCCCTAATACGGTTTTATTTCACCTCGCGTCTTTTTCTAGCCCTAGACCTAGTGCTTTAAAAGTACAACTGTCTTTAAGGTGTTATTCAAAACTCTACAAAAAAATTATAAAAAAAGGTAGTCTGAATATAATTCTTTATTTTCCTGTGCTTTCTTCAGCTAGATTGGAATTATAAATTCGCCCCGATGGAGGGCTAAAGCTCAAAACTTCAGCTTCAGAAAGTTTTATATTATTATTTATATTATCAGCTCAATCGTGGATAAATTGCGCTTACTTTCTTTCTTTACAGAATACTCAACTGTGAGAAATGACTTAGTTGTCAGAAAAATAAAACAATTACTCACCGAATGTTGAAGTCCTCATGCTAGGAGTATCCAAATTGTTGGATCTCAGTTGTCGAAATTTTGTAACTGGAAAATGGAAGAATTTTGAAGAAAGCACATGAATTTGAAAGAATTTTAGATATGAACTAAATGTTATTTTTATTAGCCACATATTCGATCGTTTCGAATTCGTTCCTTATAAAAGTAGTTTCGGTCCAAAAGATAGGAATGTTGAATATGAAGTATGTAGTTCACCTGAACCAGATCGAAAAGGTTGCTTTAAAAATGCCTTTCCCTTTAATCGTCTCGCGCTTCTCGCACGCGAACAAAGTAGATCAAAGACCTACTCAGGTGCCTGCATTTAGACCCTGAAACGCCCGCAAATGCAAACTGTGTGAACTTTTGTCAATTCAAGGTGTCAAGTGAGACGCGCCGAAGGCACTTAGTGTAACATGAAAATCTTCGAATCTTTTGATTTGCAGATTGCTTATGTCTTGAGATAAAGCTAGACAAAGATCGACGGTCACACTGCTTGAACAGCGGACATGACCTGTCATCAGTATGTTGTCCACTCAATCTTATAAGCACTTGCTTAGGAGGTCAGTTTCTTATGATAATGAAAGCCTGAAGCACCTCTTATTCGTTTTCGAACAGATTCAAGCGATCGATCAACTTCACGAAATTTCGCCGCCTTGCCTTACACTTAGGTGCAACATAAGAGTAAACCTTTCAGTTCCAAGAATAACCGATCAGTAACTTCTCCTTACAAAATAACTTCATTGCTTAGCAGACAGGTAATGAGAAGAAAGAAGGGACCTTAAGTAGTCAGGACGGCAGCGCCAAGGAAGACTTCGATTAAAAAATGAATTTCTACTCTTAGTTAGAATTTCAAAAATGGCTGCATGAGCTTACTGTCTTATACGGCGCCACAGCTCAACTTCAGCATGACGTATAAAAGTAGCGTTGAGTTCCAAATGGAAATTAAAATAATTTGCCGTCGCGGTTTCGGTTCGCAGAGGACGCAAGTTTTTGCGATTTCACGTTGTTTTGCATTGGACGGCTAAGAAATGTACACTACATCGACTTGGCCACTCTTATCCAAAACCTTGAACAACAGAATGATCCTTAGTGAAACCAAAACCAAATCTATGCTTGTCACTGGTAAACGGTTAGCCAAGAAAATGGAACAGTCCACCCTGCAGTTAAACGTTAATTCTACTGAACTTGAACAAGTGAACTCGCATAAACTATTAGGTGTCACGATTGATAGCCAGCTTACTTTTGACCAACATGTCGAAAATCTATGCACTAAGTTATCGCAGAGAATTGCCGTGCTGCGAAAAATAAGACGCTTTTTGCCCATTGATCAAAGGAAACTTTATTATAATGCTATGATCAAGCAGACAATGCTTTATGGATCAACCATATGGACATCTTGTTCTGCTGAGAATTTGCAGAAAGTCTTTAAACTTCAGAAACGCGCGACACGTGTAATTCTCGGAGCTGACACTAAAGCGAATAGCGTACAACTGTTTAGGAAATTGGATTGGGTTCCATTCTTTCATGAGGCAAAAGTAAATAGGTCACTAATGGTGTACAAACGATTGTCTGGGGACTGTTCACCTTATATGTCCCAAATGCTCGTAAGAAATGCAGACATAAATGAAAGATCGAGCAGACATGGACAACTAAACCTCGTCTGTCCCCGATTCAAACGGGAGTCAGAGGGAGGTAGGTCTTTCACAGTATCGACCTCACGCCTCTGGAATACCTTACCACTGGACATAAGAATGAAACCTACTATCAAATGTTTTAAGAAGGCGATGTTAGATTTTTTTAAGAATAGTTATAAACGATTAGAACATTTTATCTTATAGTTTTTATAAACTTTGTAATTTTAGATTTTTAGTTCTTGATCTTTTTCCATAATTAATTAGTTTTTAATCTTTTTCAATAATTATTTGCAATATATTTTAAGAGGGCCACTGGTTTGTCAGTTTTATACTGTTATGTGTTTTACCCTCTTTAAATAAAGTTGATTATTATTATTATTATTATTATTATTATTATTATTATTATTATAACAAATCATGATGTACGAAGAGTAGTTGAGTAGTGCAGCTACGACCAGTGAGGAATCCGTGATGGGAGTCGTTCACAAAACTGATAACTTGATTGTAAATAGCATTATGCACAATTCTTTCCTGGCATTTCTCAATGATGGATAGAAGCGAAATGTCTCTGTAATTTTCTACAGGCTCACGGTCACCATCCTTATGAATAGGTGTGATATTAGCTGATTTCCATAATTTAGGTAGGCAGCACTGTTTGAAAGATAAATTGAAAAGCATACTCAGACGAACTGCAGATGTGTCAGCGGTCTCTTTAAGTGAACGAGCAGGTATATTGTCAATCCCACAAGACTTATTAGAATTAAGACCTTTGAGAAGTTTTCCAACTTCTTTAGTGTCACAAGCCACAAAGTTGGTAATGACATCAGTACTTGGATCTTGTAAGTTAGTTTGTATTGGGGTTGGTATCCCAGTTTAAAAAAAAACTGAATGAAAGTGAACATCAAATAAGTGAGCTTGCTCTTGAGGTTTTGTCGCAGATCTTCAGTTGTAAGTTGGTAATGACATCAGTACTTGGATCTTGTAAGTTAGTTTGTATTGGGGCTGGTATCCCAGTACTCTGTTTACAAAAAACTGAATGAAAGTGAATATTGAATAAGTGAGCTTGCTCTTGAGGTTTTGTCGCAGATCTTCTGTTGTAAGTGTTTACATCTGGAAGCCGTTTTGATCTTGACTTGATTGAGTAGTAGCTCCAAAATCGTTTCGGGTTTATCTTAAGTTGACTGGGGCCCGTTTCTCGAAAGTCCCGGTAAATTATCGGGT